TCAACTAACTGGAAGGGATCCAACAGGAATTATAGTACCTTTAACTAATGAGGAAATTTTCTCCTTATGGAAGAATAATGAATATTGACAGAGGGCTTGCAGTAACTTTTTGGGAATGATTAGCAACAATTATCCCAAAATAGGGCTGGTCAGTGGCACAGGAACCTATATCTCTCCCTACAGCAATTAGTGTAATTCAATTCAGAATTTCCATTTAGATAATGATTAAATGAAGTTGTCTACTAAAATTCTTCATTATATTTAAATACTACCTAGATAAAATATTACCTAGTTAAAGACCAGTATCTAACAACTGTGATATCTAAACCTTTTTGGAATCCTTGTTTGTATGTTTTCATATCTTGGTTTGTGGTGACATCATCTTGTTTCCTGGTACACCAAGTAACTCATGTGAATATTCAAGTATATGAAAAAGTTAGATACAACTTGAGACTCCGAACGATTTCATCTCCCTCTCGAAAGAATTGAGATTGCTTCTGCTAGGAAGTTCTAAGAGAGGCAGGTTATTTTCATTGAACTGATGATGGAGTCCAATTGAAGCTGGGCTCTGAAGAGTTCCTGGGATCAATGTTAACTCTTAGTCTTCAATGGGCAGTGTCGTTTAGTTTTAAACAATGTTTTGAGTATTTAGTGGGGGGATTCAAGACAGGGTTTCTCTGTAGCTTTGCAGCCTGTCCTGGAACTAGCTTTGTAGACCAGGCTGGCCTTGAACTCATAGAGATCCCCCTGTCACTGCCTCGAGAGTGCTGGGATTAAAGACATGTGCTACCACCATCCAGCTTATTTAGTAGCATTATTGACATGAAATTAATATAACATAGTATTTATTCAAATGGACAGTTCCATGAGTTTTAACAAATCCATGGAGCTGCGCCAGTGGCACTACGGTCCGGCTCTGAAATATTTTCTTTCTCCCCCAAGTTTTCTTGGGCTCACTTTCAGCAGTCCCTCTGTTCCTGTCCACAGGCCCAGGGCCTGAGGTTTTCCCAGGGTCTTTTTGATCAATAGCACTGAACACACACACACATTATTCTACACATTCAAGAGCTACTCTCTCAGGGTTCCCCCCCCATCGGTCAATTAGCAGATTATACTAAGCTGGCAAAGGGTCTTAAGGCAAAATATCTGCCAAAGCATTATGCTTTTTTTGAAGTTTTGATCTTTGTGCCCTTACTGCCTCCAAAGATAAGTTATTCCTATTGTTAATAAGCTTTCCTAGTTGATTTTGGTGTGAACACTGTAATAATCCCATCCAACTCTGAAAGACAGGGTGCATTCTGAGCATGCCTGCATCTGGGGTGGGAACACCCTTAAGAAAATGAGGAGCCAAACCTCCTGCAACTTGCTCTAACATCGCTGCTGTAACACCCAGCACACAAACGCTTCCGAAGATATTTAGCGTTAGTGACCTCTCGCTCTCCACACGAGGTAATGGCTACTCCTTAGGGTGTTATGGAATACGGATACACATTAGTTAGTTTCTGATAGGTCTTTACCCTCACTATTTATCAGCAGGATTCCAGTGGGCATCTAGTTCAGGACATTTGAATGACAATTCCCTTACGTTGTATAAAACTTGGAACCTGGCCAACAATTCAGGGCATCAGGACATCTTTACACAAAAATATTCCCACATGCACAAACGGGGAACACTCAATGTCTAGTTGAGAACTCAAACATCATTTGCAGAATCTGTGAGTCTACTGTTTCTTCAAATTATGAACCCCAAGAGACCAATTGTCTCAGTAGTCACATTTCAGTCTCTGCTTCGGGGCTTATCACTCCTTGGTTTCAAGACTTGAGGGACCAGTACCTCTGGCTCTTATAGCTTACCCCTACGCGTGGGTCTCAGACCATGTGCTTTGTCTGGCCTCTCAGACTAGCGGGAGAGGGAGCTTGTGTCAGGCTGTGTCCTCTGTGGACAAAGGCTCTTTCTCTTTCCCTGTGAAAGGTGCCTCTAAAGCCAAGCGCACCTAAAGACAGTGGCACGCCTCCTCCAGCAGCGCCCTAGAAAGGTCCTTTTTTTCCTAGCGACGATTGCCAGCCCCCAGATTGCCCTGTTCCTGCCTTCTTGCTTAGTGACTGGGCACCACGGTCTCAGATGTTGCCTACTGGGAAATCAGTTTGGGATGGGAGAGCCTTGGAGCAACGTCAATCCCCGTCCCGTGTGTATCCCTGCCTCTTAAGTCTCCCACCCACCTACCCCGGTACACAGCAGAAAGGCTAAATTCTAAAAAACATTTTTGTCTTGTTTGTTTGTTTTGTTTCCTTTTGTGTTTTATTTGAACAGTGCGAAGCAGGAAAAGGAAAGGGGATTTACTCACTGTTTCAATGTGCTCACACTGGGAAGAGGGTCAAAACCCTCTTGAGACAGGGTTTCTCAGTGAAGCTTTAGAACCTGTCCCGGCACTTGCTCTGTAGACCAGGTTGGCCTCGGACTCACATAGACCCATCTGCCTCTGCCTCCAAGTACTGGGATTAAAGGGGTGCGCCACCACGTCCAGCCACTCGCTTTGGTTTTAAATGGAGGGTCAGAGGTGTGCATATCTTAGCAGTCCCTATGGGTCAAGGTGTGGTCCTGTCCATCAGTGTTTCAGCATCCACCCTTCTGAAAAGTGAGCTGATGACTTACACATCTTTTTTTCTGGGAGAATATTTTACCTCCTGATGGGCCCAGCAAGACTCCCAGAAATAGTCTAATGTCTCGAAGTTCATTGTTCCAATAGTCTTACAACTAAAGTGAGATACACAGTGTCCCTTTAGAATGCTCCCCACCCCTGGTGCGGAGGGTTACGTCGCTACATATCATCCATGCAGTGGAATATATCTCTATGTAAAACAAATATACACAGAAGCCTATAGGAACCAAGTTTAGTATGCGTTTCAACCCACTGGCCACAAGGAGGAGCTGTGACTCTGAGATTCAGACATCTAAGGAGGGTGTGAGAGAATTCACTGGTTGAGAGAGGGTTAAGAGAAACTTGGACTTATTTTATAGCATGAGAAAGTATGGTCCACAGAGGCTATGAGCCAGTGATGTCAGGTGAAGGGATAAACGCAGACCTCTCGGTGCAATGAAACCCCAGCAGATGGCTTGGCTGACTTCTTGTACGTGATCCTGCTTGGGATTCGAAAGTAGAGTTTGGGGTGAGAAGGCTGGGGACCCCCACACAAGTTCAGGTGGAGAGGTAAAACCTGAAAGAAATAAACAGAATTCCGGGAGCCGGGCATACACCGCAGCTCAGTGAAGTCCAATCCCATGAAGTCTTTCATTATTCTAGTTTCTATGTCCAGCAATGTATGCTGCAGACCAGGGGTTCCTCGGGACAGGTGAAGATATCACAGAAATACACTAGAGAGGCCACAAGAGACCAACAACATCATTTCTATTTCCCTCACTCCACACCGTCGAGGAATTACACCAGAGAGGTCTTGCGGCTGTTCGTCTTCTGGGGGTGGTGTGGGGTGGGTGGTTCTCTCCATTCGTGAAGCACGAACATTCACACGACAGTAAGAAACATCTCTTCTGGGTTTAAGAAAACGTTCCACCAAAATAGCAGCAATGGCACTAAAAAGATAGCAAGAACACACCCCTCCAGGGACTCTATTTTCAACTTCTGTCTCCATCTACAAATACCCACGGAACTAGGGCCAACATTTTTGATGCTATCAAGACACCCAGAGAGAGAAAAGCAATGGCGTTGACTGTCACCCAGAACACAAGTCCAAGACAATGTGTTCTTACTCAAGGCTGCGTCTCACCATTAAAGCGTTTGTCGTTTCCCTTGCTTCTTGGAAATCCAAGAATGCCATAAAATCACATTTTTCTGTGGGCAGATGCTAGGCAGCAGAAGGCAGGTCTAGGCTGTCTTCCCATACAGCTGTACACAACCCACCACGTTGCATGAAAGAGGAGTCTCTAGCTGAGTTGTTTAACTGGAAAATGCTCTCCTTTCCTGTAAAGGTTAACTTTGTAGCTCTTCTTAGAAAGGAACAAAGAGATATACGGAAGGTCACCAACTCAGCTTTCTAAGTTGAAATCTAAATCATTTTCTGTGTCATGAGCCACTTTCAAAATCTGCCGAGAATTATGAACATCAGAAAAGGCAAGTACACATGCGTCCGACATCAAAACTAAAATTTAATACTGAGGAAATTTAACTCAGGGATTGGAAATTCATGATCGTTTAGATTTTTCTCACTAGCAGTCACATAAAACACACACATAGTAAAACCAGGGTAAAATATAACCATTTTAAACTTTACAAAAGGCCCATATATCATATTATTCCAAATACTTTTAGTTGTCTTTAAGAAACTAGATTAGATGCTTAATGATCCATACAGCAGTACTAATAGCACATGTAGTTATCTTAAGAGAATAAATGAGATTTCAATAGCTAAATAAGCAAACAAAACAACTGATAAATGAAAAACTGGAGGAGAAACAGCCTGTAACATGTTGTCGCCTTGGTTTGGTCTGAATTATTACTTGGGAAACGTGTCAGTAAGCCTGCAGGATCATGTAACACTATGTATATTGCTTTTTATGTTTTTTTTCGTTTTGTTTTGTTTTTTGCCTGTGCTGATGTTGGTTTTTGTCTTCCTTTGTAATCTGTCCCACTAGGAGCAGGGCAGAAAGATTTCCCTGCTCCTCCACTCCTTAGGAAACTCAAGAAACAGTCTGAGCACAGGGAGACAGACCATCTGTGACAATGGCATCCCGTGAGCTCCCGTGTCACCCTAACCGTGCGACAAGGCGTGGCTGCGGGACATTCTCTCTCCACCCTACTCTGCCAGAGCCCCCAGCCGTGTCCCCTGACTCCTCTGGGAGTTTATTCTGATGGAAGTCACTCAAAGCGGGAGTGACAAAGTTTTGGTCCAACGCGGATGATTTCATATGCAGAACGGAGGAGCACGTGCTACATTGGCATTTAGTGTCTGAAATAAATGCGCTGCAGAAAGGCTCGCAGTTGTTCCTTCCTTCGAGGCTGCAGCCTTAATACCAGTTCTGTGCTCACAGAAACGCCCGTCAGCCATCTGGTTTGCTGCCGGTCATACAACCAATGCCTGTCTTTCTGTCTCTGCCTTCCTGCCTCTACCTCTGCCAACCACCCCATGCCCATGTGGGTGTATTTGTCTGTCTGTCTGTCTGTGGGTCTGTCTGTCTGTCTGCGAATCAAGTGCCTTCCTGGCTTTGGTGGTAGGTGGACAAATCACGTGTCACTACAGTGGAGCCTCCTGCCTGGTCTGACAGCCGCAGCAGAGCCCTGAGGTAGGGATTTACCTGGTCCATCCTGACCCAACCATGGGTTCCAGGTCCCTAAGCTGTGTGACCTTCTGCCTCTGGGGAGTAGGTGAGTAGCTGAGTTCCATAGACAAGGAGATAGGATCCCTCCGCTTGAGTCCTTTGAGCATGCCTACTTCTGAAATTTCCCTGAATTCTGATTTTTTTTTCCCCACCACAGGCGTCCTAGAGACAGCTGTTTTCCAGACTCCACAGTTTCTTGTCACACAGGTGGGAAATAAAGCCTCTCTCAAGTGTGAACAAGATCTGGGCCATGACACTATGTACTGGTACAAGCAAGACTCTAAGCAATTGCTGAAGGTTCTGTTTAGCTACAACAATAAGCAACTCATTGTCAACGAGTCAGTTCCAAGTCGCTTCTCACCTCAGTCTTCAGATAAAGCTCATCTGAGTCTTCATGTCAAGTCTGTAGAGCCGGACGACTCTGCTGTGTACTTCTGTGCCAGCAGTTAAGACACAGCCATGCAGAGCCACTGTTTTCCTGTGCACAAACCCACGCAGCCAAGAAGCGGTGGGGGCCAAGTGTTAACCCACACCTCAGGCTCCATGTCTCCAGGCTTTTGTGGGCCCCAATGGCATTTCAGTCTGTAAATCAGTTCTGTGTTTATGCATACATGAGTCTTACGGAATTCTGCAGATTAGCCAGAATAGCAGTTTACATCACAGTCACCTAGACTGCCAACAGTGGATGACCTTGGAGATTTTAACTGAGAGAAGACATTGCTTGTTATTTTCTGCCATGTATGTATTGTCTGAGACAATAGGATTGAAGGCAGATGGTTTCTTCAAGTATGAAGGAGTGCGATTCTATAGGGCAGAGCAAAGTACCTGATTCTAAGACTCCACAGGAAATTCAGACTACCACTGAGGCTTTTTGTTTTAAGAGAAAGATATCTGAAGAGTCGTGAATGTCCATGTCCACAAGTAAACTCTAAAGAAAGGATGAGGGAGAAGTTGTTTGAGTCAGGCTTGTACAGTCAGAAACCCTTGTCATCAGTTAATACAGTTTTCTCCCTGTTCTGTCATCTCAATCTTCTCCAAGAGCAGGGAACAGTAGATGCTGGAGGACAGTCTGAGATACAGAAAGCATGTTAGCTATAAATTCCCATTCCGTAGTTAACTATTGGACAGACTGAAGCTATATAACACTGTTCCAGGACCAGAGTTACCTAGTAGTCTAAATAACCCATGTAATATCTGTAGAGCCAGGGCCTCCCTCAAGTTCTAACAACCAGGACCAGAGGTGGTTAACAGCCCAAATGACCTCTACTCTATCCGTATGAACAAGCCCAGGCTATATCGTTCCTTAGGCTCTTAAGTTGTGTGGGTAGCCTGTCTCTAGAACCCATCTTCTTGGAAGAAATCACATGTACTCTGAGTCAAGTTTTGATGTAATTATACTTCCTTGTACGCTGGGGATTGTATTATACCAGGAAACTTTCCCAAATTGTACCATGCTTAAATTCATTGGGAATAAATTATCTGTCATCAGGCTCTCCAAATTTTGATCCAGGTTGGCAAAGCCAATCTGAAACAAGTCTTCATTCTCACATGTTCATGATTCACTTCCACGCCTGCCGTGACCACCTGCAGGGTTCTCCTCAACATACGGTCCTAATTTGTATTTTGGTACAAGAGTGGCATGGGCTAGGTGGTTGAGAAAAGACACAATGTTCTGAAAGATATGGTACAGAGCAGTTAGTGTGAGCTGTTATATTGTGCGGATGTTCTTAGTCAGTCACTTTCAGAAGTTCCTGTTTTATCCTAGTGTTGAATGCAGTATTTCATAGGGACAAGTTCAGCATTGCTCTCTTCCTACTAGGGAGCCTTAGCATAGCTATTATTGCTAGTTCACAGACTTTCTGTAGAAACCAAAGTGCATGTGCCAAAGTATCTTCTGTGTAATGAGCCCTCTAGCCCTACGTGTCTGCTGAAAGCCTTCTCAGCTCTCCAACCTTCTAGTAGGTTCTCCATGCTACCTCTAGGTAGCCCTCCTCTGCACCCACAAATTGAGTGGTGTTCTCTCACAAAAGATTGATTTATTCAGATTCTCGGGGCTTCCTTTTCAGTCCTCTCTGTCCCGAATTCTAGTTGTCTTGGAATTGTCTATCCTCAAGCGCTATGCACCATGATTATTTGCTTAAATATACGCAGCAGTGAGTGAATGCTCCAGTTTATTTAGGAGTTATGAATCATTTCACGTGTTCATGTCTGCCTTCACATGTTCCAGGCTAAAAATAAAATCCAACATTTTCATAGGAATACATTTTAATAAAGCTAGTACCCAGTAGTTAAGTGGTCAAATGCAATACACATTTCATATAAGAAAATAGAAGCGACCATGGTGTCCCTTCCCAGTTAGTCTTCATTGGAAGGGCATGGGAAGTCATGATGAGGCTGGTTCCATTTCTAGCATTTCAGAAAAATGGGGTCATTCCATCTCAGCATCTCTGGTTGTACAGGTGAGGAACATCACATGTTACACTTATGAAATGATTTAAATGACTTTCTTAAATATATTAGAATTTTATTCTCTAGTTATCTATGGATATATATTTAATTGTCCTACTAATCTGTGGGTGAACATAGTGTTTCTGTTGTTTGCTCCTAGTTGTTGGCCACTGAAGACTGAATAAACAAATTTAACCTATAAGCTCCAAACAAGCTGCATAGTTAACACCCATTTGACTCCTTGCTAAGAATCCCGGTATCACCAGCCTCTGCATAGCAGAAATCGGAGACTTGTGGGGTGTAAGTGGGCCACTTTGGCCACAGGATGGAGCTGTGATCTAAGGATATCTCTGAAGCTGGGCATGGGGAAGGTGAGCCATTGGAACTGGGGGAAAGGGGGGGGTGAATCTCATCCATCAGTACTCCTTATCAGGTGGAAGCCTCAGTTGTGGACATATTACAAACACTGGCATCAATTTCTAATTGATTTCCCTTGGTCTAGTATCAAATCATGTCTCTTCCAGCATCTTATGTACAGTGTCTTTCCTCTAAGCCTAGACAAGCCCCATACCTTAAGCAACATGCACACGGGTTGTCTCATCCAGTTTAAGCTCCCTCCAGTGTCCTGTTCAGTGTCTGGCTTCTGAATGACACCACAGTCATAAACTTCAAATGATGAATAGACATTCAAAGTCACCTAATCATCACCATACCCACCCCCACAATCCACAAGACTGGGCAATCCATCTTAAGCATGAACCGAAGCAGCACTTCGAGGGTGCTATTCCTTGAAACCGAGTGGGAGAGGAAGGAGATATTTTGAAGGAGGAAGGGGCTGTGCTAGGGAAGGTCATGGAAGAGGGTAGCAGTGAAAAATGCATACAGTAAGAGTGTAGCTACAAGCATGGGAACAATTTCTAGAAATACCTCTGAGGGCTAAAATGTTGAGTTTGCGTTTTTAAAACATTTGTCCATCCCTGCCCAGTAGATTCACCTAATAGTAGAATCTAAATTGAATATGAAGGGGGGGAAAGAAACATCTGTTGAAGCTGGGGAAGCTAAAAGGGACAGTGACATCACAGACAAAAACACCAATCATGGCCACGAAGAATAGACCCAGCTCTCATCGAGGGTATCTTAGCTACACAATGCCCATCTGGGACCTGACTCCACCATGAGATGCAGGCTTCTCTTCTGTATTTTCCTACGTCTCCTGGAGACAGGTGAGTCTTGGATCCTACTGGCTCCTAGCTCCAGATTTCTTTACGCTGAAGCCACCACCCTTTTTCTCCTGAACTGTGTCTAAGTTTTGTCCTTTTCTTCCCACAGCTCTCGTGAACACTAAAACTATCCAGACACCAAGATATCTGGTCATGGGAAGGACAGATAAGAAATCTTTGAAATGTGAACAACATCTGGGAAATAATGCTATGTATTGGTATAAACAGAATGCGGAGAAGCCCCCAGAGCTCATGTTTCTCTACAATCTTAAAGAACTGATTCGAAACGAGACTGTGCCCAGTCGTTTCTTTCCCGAATGCCCAGAGACCTCCCAGCTACTCCTTCACCTGTCTGCCCTGGGGCCGGAAGACTCGGCTGTGTATTTCTGTGCCAGCAGCAAAGACACAGCCCTGCAGATTCGTCAGATCTCTGTATACAAACCTACAGGTTCAGGAAGCTGTGGGACCACTGAGGGCTCCACCGAACTCGGCTTCCGTAGGGCCCAAGACAGAATGCTGCAAACCATAACACCACCCTCCAACTCAACCCACGCATCACCATGGCCGTATTTAGAGGTGGGGCTTCTTTCACCGTGCACGGCTCTCCTGCAAACTGATGGAAAGATAAGTACCTATGGGTTTCAATTTTTAAAGAATTTTTTTAATTGTGGGAGAAAATAAACCTGCTAGAAAGCAAATCGTTTCAACTAATAATTTACACAATACGCCTATCCATCGTTAGACCCAGCACAGGTCTGGAAAGTGAGACATTTTTCTGAGAGAGGCATTTTAGGTCCTGACACTTCAATTCCTCTTCTCAGCTGGAAGCTTGTACCCTGTCCATACTCCTGCCTTACTCTTGCCAACATCTGTCTGTTTCTTCAGTTTCATCATTTTAAGCCACTGTGCTTAGAGCCTCTGGCATCCGGCTTTTCACTGACCATCAGGAAAAAGAAGAGATCCTATGATTCCTTTCAGCACTTACTCTGGTCTAGCTATCTGAACCTGTAAACCAGAGGTGCCTGACAGTGGGTGATTTAAGGCAGACTGCATCCTTTAGAACATTCATGGGACCACCTTGGGGCGTCTCATGCCCGTGATGGCACACTGGTTTCTATTCTCAAGAGTACACCCTGGAGCCTGCGTAGTATGCCACAGGCTGTGACATTGTGGACTTCCCTTCTGATGTGTTGGCAAAGCCCAGGCATGAGTCCTCTGGCCCTGCATGGTCCCCTATCATGGGCTGTGCCCTCCTTTGCTGGGTAAACTTTGGTGTTGTGGGTGTGAGGCTAGAAAATACTTGGGAAGTTCTCATCTGCATTTACATGGAGCAATTATTAAATTTCTCTTTATCCCCCCCTTTTTTTGCTTTCTGTCTCCTCCACAGGGCACATGGAAACTGGAGTCACACAAACCCCCTAATCACGATGTTACAGAAATGGGACAGAATGTCATTTAGTCATGTGACACAATTTCTGGTCATTTTGCCATCTCTTGGTACCAACAGACGCCAGAAAAAGGAGTGGAGTTTGTGGTTTCATTTTATGACTCTTTCAATGGTCAGTAATCAGTATAAATGCCTGATGGACTGTTCTACATTCTGAAGATTCAGCCTGTTTATCCAGGAAGCTCTGCCGTATATCTATGCTAGCAGCTTAACCACAGCCCTACAGAGAGGTTTTCTGTCTCCAAAAAAAAAAAAAAAAAAAAAAAAAAACCTTAATGTTCTTCATGTGGAGACAGATGGTCAAGGTGCTTCCAACGACAGTAAGAAAGTAACCCCGATTGCCTGCAAGGGGATACAAATGGGGATGTGGGGAGTCATACTTGGGAAATGCTCACAGGTACCCTAGAATGTGGCTATGAATACAGCAGTGGGGTAAAAGTAGCCATAGTGGGGACCGTCAGAGATCTCATGGGAATCTCTGCACCCATTTGGGGGTCTCGGGTTGAGTTTCTTCTTATTCAGCAGGGTATGGTTTTCCATCTGTGGGTGGAGGCAGGTCTTCTTCAGGGGGCATGGAGGATTCTCATGAGGGCACCAAAAACAACCAGCTGAGAATTTTCCAGAAGGGTGGCAGATCTAAGCTCCAGAGTCTGAAGGTTAGCAAGAAAGTGTAGAAGAACACTTTTCTCTGTGTAGCCGGGTCTGACTTGGACTGGCTTCTCTCACTCCGTTGGGTCCTCACAGTCGCTGATAAGATAACCACTCAATATATATTTATAGTATTTGGCCAATGGCTTAGGCTTATTACTGGCTAGCTATACCTATAAATTAGCCTGTTTTTAATATTTAATATCTTACTGTGAGGCTTGTGGCTTGTTACCTCACATCTCGCTCCCCCAGCAGCCTCAGGGCATCTCCTTTTATCCTGCCTTCCTTCTCCTTGTATCTTTGTATGGCTTGCCCGCCTAGCTAAATTTTGCCTGCCCACTGGCTGAAACAGCTTTATTCATCAACCAATAAACGCGACACATGTTCACAGCCTACAGAAGGACATCCCACATCAAGGAAAGACGGTTTGGAGCAGTAGGTGACAGTAGGAGCAGGAGCCTGCTCTTGCATCATGGGGGCGATGTGAACCGTGGCTGCCAGTGCGTGTTGAGCTGCCTGCAAGTCGTGCAGGTTAGCTTCCAGGCTGCGTGAGCTGGGGAGGCTGTTAGGGATACAGCTGCCTTTGAATCACTCCCGCTCCTGTAAGTAACCTCTTACCTGTACTCACATAAGTAACCCCTCACCCATGCTCACGTAAGTAACTCCAGTATAACTCATTGCTTCACTAGGTTGTAATTTGGTGGTATCCGTACTATGGTCTGCCATTGGTTCCTTACCAATGAATTAATGGATGTTTATTTGCATGACCCCAGGAATAGTGTCACACACAACTCAGGAACAGAAAGTATGGTTTATATTCCACAGGGGCCATGGTTTACACAAGAACCAGTCACAGGGTCATATATATTCATATATATTACAGTCTGACCCAGTTCAGGCAACTCTCCTTCATGCTATGAAATCAGCAGTCTCTCTAGAAAGAGTTTCTGCTCTACTAGGATAGAAGCAAAGTTTAGAGGCAATATGTGTTTTCACGCTTTTAGACTGAGTATATGATTTATCTTCCAAAGTGGAGTCCATTTGGAATGAGGAAGATGCTGCTAATGACTGCTCTTGAGAAACACACATGCCTTGTAACACTTACTATACATGTACACAGGCATAAAGCTTCGGGATTCTTTCAGATTCCTAGTAGGAAGAGGCTCTGGGCTTGTCTTGCTCATTGAATACAAGCTTCTCTGCAGCACACGAGATGTATTCATGATCTAAAACACCTCAGTTCTGTTCTGGGTCTCACTAAGCAGGCTGACTGGTGGGAGTCAGTCAAAAGGAAAACGGAGGAAGTTTCACGTGGAGTTCTGTCTCCTGATTCTTTCTCCCGCTACGTAGTATCGACCATCCTTAACTAGCCATCCATGTACCATTATGCAAGCAACTATAAAGTTGCTACACATCCGTGTAGAGATGACTCGGCGTGCAGAAAGTGGCAGTCGGGAAGGTGAGCTGGCAGTGCCTGGAGAGACACAAGCCTTTACCCCAGCTCTGCTCCATCAAGCTGGTGACCCTACCTCAGTCTTTATGTATTGCTGGCTTCAGGGCTTTTTGGTCTCTGCCCATTGATGAGAACAATTATTGCTTTCCTCAATAAGAGAAGAAAACTCTAGTGTTTTCTTAACAGAGTTTATTTTTAACCACCCCCTCCATTCCCCAACCTGCTTTCTTTCCTTTGGGTTCTGATTAAAATGTCACCTCATTTCTTTGGCCCATCCCATTACCTATTACCATGATGGCCTCTCCTCACATTGAGCCTCAGGCACTGACTAAAATTAATCTGATGTCTACTAACTATGACATATAGATGACAGCATCTACGCCTTAGAGCATCAATTTAAATCTCTTATTTATGCGATTTACATAATAATAGAAAGCACTTACTATGTTACGTGATGGCGTCACTTACTTAAAGTGCCAGGTAGATGTTCAGTGTTCCATAGATGGCAGACATTCTGATTATAATTTTGTCAGGGCTATGGTGGCACTTCCTTAAATGTATCTGTGCTCCAAAAAATAGTACACCTTGCAGGAAGGAGTGGAGCGTGTGCGTGACACGCCTTCGACTATGTTAGAATATAAGACAAGTAAGCACAGAACGTGCTGGAAAGGACTGACTGCTTATTGCATGGCAAAGCTTCTCTTCAGCAGAAAGGCCTTTTGACAGCTGGAGATCAGCCGCCTGCATGCAGTTTTGATAATCTCTTCTCCCTCAGTATTAGAGAACGCTGTTATATTTCTAGTCTGGGTTGTGTTGGGAGAATACCGTTACATACCAAATATCTCCCAAACCCAGAAAACCTCTCTAGAAAATGAAAAGAAAAGGAAGGTTATTTAGTTACCTCATAAGCATTACCTAAATTGTGGTATGCATCTAGATAATCTGCTGATACATTCAGATGAGTGGATAAACTCACTATACACATGATCTCAAGAGGAACAATTACTAGTCTTCAGTGAAGGGGAGTTAACAGGACCCCTTGTCACCAGCAGTTCATTCTAGAATCACTTGGTGATTGCAGTGGTCACCTGGGATAGCTACTTGGCCCTACCTGAAGGAATATATACTGCTCATATGCTTATGAAATGAGGTAGCTTTGCAACTTGAGGCAAAGCACGTATTGTCCATTAAGTTAGACTCCTAAACTAGAGTCTTCCAAGTAAAGGAGGTTCCTATTTGAGTTAAGGCGGGCTAAGAAAGCTAGGCTGTAACCCTCCCTCAGACATGGAGATGCTCCTGCCTGTACACATTCTACTATAAGTAGGTGTTAGATGTTTGCCACTCAGTGTCTCTAGAAATACTTAGGGCACCTTGGTGGTATTTTATTTTTCTTAGCAGACTTTCTGTGGCACTTGTATGCCCAAATACATCCACACATACAGAGAGTGGGTAGACATTGGATATATTTCTCTGCTTTTTGCCTTTACATTTGCCTTGTCTTATTTTATAACTCTGGTGCAAAGTGCTAGTTGTGTCTTTAAATATCACATTCCTTTTATGACAGCGCACTTATAGAACTTTAAAACTAGCATAGGAAAAGAAGTGGTCTTATTAAGATAAATTCAATAACTTACAGACAGAACAGAGATAATAGTTTTGTGACTTTTGGGAAAGTAGAGTTGACTTCCTACTTGGTGAATAAATACAGTAGTTGATATTACAGCCAAGCCATTCATACTTGATTAGAGCCAGAAGCAAAGGTTTGGCCTCTAGGATTATGTGTACTCATGGAAGCAGTTGGGAAAAATAAGTCTTGCAGAATTTTTGTTATATTGTCTTACTATATGTATGCTCTATATACAAAAATTTATTTTAAAAAACATACATTTCATCCAGCCTATATTGGAAATAAGTATGGAGATTTCCAAAAACCTTACAAAGAAATAAAAATAACAAACAAAAAACCCAAACTAGGAATAGATCTATTATATGACCTGCCGTACTACTCCTTACCACTCCTAACTATTCACACAAGGGATTCTTTTTTAATTATAATTATTATTTTTAATTAAATTTATTTATTATTTATTTATTAAATGTACTAACTCATATATGGATTTTAGACATAGATCTGGGGAGCGCCAGCCTACAATCCCACTGCCAGTGAGGGAAACAGAACCTTCAACCAATGACTGATAGAAGCAGAGGCAGACAGCCACAGCTAAACACTGAGCTGAACCCAAAGAACCCAGTAACAGAGAGGGAGGACTGATGAGCAAAGGGGTTAAGACTGGGCTGGTTTAACCCCCAGAAACAGATGACCTGACAAGAGTTAGCTCTTGAATCCCAGACTGATGCCTGGGAATCCAGCATGGGACTGATCAAGAACCCCTGAATGTGGGTGTCAGTGAGGAGGCCTAGGTAACCTATGGGGCCTTGGGTAGTAAATCAGTATTTATCCCTGGAATGTAAATGGACTTTGGGTGTCCATACCACAGTGACTCTTGGGGGAGGGCCTAGGCCCTGCCCTGGATGAAATGACAGACTGTGGACACCCCCATGGAGGGCCTCACCCTCCCTGGGGAAAGGAGTGGGGACTGGGAGAGGGGGATGGGGAGGGTGTGGGAGGAGAGGAAGGAAAGGGAGAAGGACCTGGGATTGGCATGTGAAGCAACTTGTTTCTAATTTAAATTTAAAAATAAAAAATTATAATTACTGTTTTTAAATTAAATTTATTTGTTTATTTTACATCCTGGCCATAGCTTCCACTCCCCCTTCCCTCCCATTCCTTCCCTCCACCTCCCCTGTACCTGCAATCCCTACCCCAATCCACTCCTCCTCAGTTTCTGGCAGAAAGAGACAGGTCTCCTAAGGATATCAACAAAGTATAGCATATAAAGTTCTAGTAGGACTGAGCTTCTCCTATTGTACTAAGCATGGGGAAGGCAACCCAGCTTGAGGAACAGGTTCCCAAAAGCACCATAGAAAATCTGCCAAGAAAAAAATTAATCACAAAGGTGCCCTAAGTGTTTCTACAGACACTGAGTGGGAACATCTAACACCTACTTATAGTAGAATGTGTACAGACAGGAGCATCTCCTTGTCTGAGGGAGGGTTACAGCCTAACTTTCTTAGCCCACCTTAACTCAAATAGGAATCTCCTTTACTTGGAAGACTCTAGTTTAGGAGTCTAACTTAATGGACAACATGTCCTTTGCCTCAAGTTGCAAAGCTACCTCATTTTATAAGCATGTGAGCAGTATATATTCCTTCAGGTAGGGCCAAGTAGCTATCCCAGGTGACCACTGCAATCACCAAGTGATTCTAGAATGAACTGCTGGTGACAAGGGGTCCTGTTAACTCCCCTTCACTGAAGACTAGTAATTGTTCTTCTTGAGATCATGTGTATAGTGAGTTTATCCACTCATCTGAATTTATCAGCAGATTATCTATATGCATACCATAGTTTGAGTAGCACTTATGAAATATGCTCATCATACCATATACACATGTCTGAAAAAATGAAAATATACGATTAAAATAAAGTTTTAAAATAGTGGTTTTCAGTGATTTTCTAGTCATATTTTTGCCGTTAGATTTATTGTTATACTATTGGAAACTTTAAAGTGAGGAAACATAATATTATGCAGACATGATTGTGTAAGTATGGCCCACAGACAAACCATTTTTATTATTATTATTTGAATATAGTGGACCTTCCCTTTCTTCTGCATGAAGATTAAAGTATCCCAAGTGTTCCAGGGTGAGCTCTGCCCAACTGTATTCTAGCACTAAGATTTGATAGCTAGAAATGCTGTTTACATGGCAAACAAACTTGGAGAACAGAAAGGAAAAAGTCCATTCTTAACTTGTGGACTGTGTCTTCCATAAATCTGTCTTTTCTCTACTTCTAGGTATTTATAAAGATGCGTGCCTCCTCAGGGTAATGCTTCAATTCATTTTATCATTTTGTTTCTACAATTGAATTGGAATGGCATTTCGTCCGTTGCTTCAAGCCTCAGGTTTCTGGTATTCAATGCCAGTGCTTTTGTTTTCATTTCCCATTTGGATGTATCGAAGCTCTAAAACTTCTTATTGAAAACACTCTAAACCACCTAACTCTGCATTACAGTCACTGGTAGATGGAGCTTAAACTTTTCTTTTTTAACTTTAGTTAAATTGTAGGAAAAGATTGTCTGACCTTTGAGTAAAACAGTTTTTTTTAAGTTTTCTTCTATGATTTTGTTGAATACGTTTTCTGCCCCTTAGAGGTGATTTTCTTCACCTTCTTCTATACCTATTACTCTTTTTTTTAAAAGAATTTTTTGGCTTTGCAATAGTTTGTCATCTGATTTATTTTTATTTAAATTAGAAACAAGGTTGGGTCACATGTCAATCAATTTAATCATAGAATTTAATTACTGAAAGTCACTTCTTATAAGCATGGAGACCAATGTTTTGCCTGACTCAGAATTAGGAGTGAGAGGGGGAAGAGAAACTGTTGGGGATGTATTGTTTGAGAGGACACTCTATCTTCAATTAAAAGTAAAATTAAAAGAATTGAAACATTATATACTCCTTAGGGTGGCTATTTAGAACAAGAAACTAGACGATGAGTGTTGGCAAGAATGCAGAGAAATCAAATTATTTTTGTGTGTGCATTGCGAGCGGGAGATTAATATAGTTTGACCACTCAGTGTGGAAAAGAACACAGGAGTTCCTCAACGTCTTAAGCATAGAATTATCCTGTAGTCCTTCAACTCAGCTTTTGAATATACACGTGCAGAAGAGTGAGAGTAGGCTAGAACCAGATACTAGTACTGTAGTGCCCTAAACCACAGCTGTCAAAAGGCAAAAGGTGGAAGCAATACACACACACACACACACACACACACACACACACACACACACACACACACATTTACGTATGCAAGCACACACATACACACTAGAATATTATGTATTCTTAGGAAAACAAGCTTTTGATAATGACAATAGCGTGGGTGAATCTTGAGGACATTGTATTATATGAAGGGAGCCAGGACAAACATCACATGACTACTATGACTCCAAATGGAAGAGCAACATCCTGAGACTGGGAATATAGAAAATGAGCAGTCTGCATTCAATGAATATAGAGTTTCACTCTGGGAAGATGAAGAAGTGAGGAGGGTGGATGGATACTGGTGCACAACAGTATGGATGTGTTAACGCTTCTGGACTATATACCTAAAGCAGTTAAAACTAATATCAAAGAAAATAGTTACAATGGCGAATTTATGTGTATTTTTATCAACAACTAAAGGATAGTTAATTATTGCATTTTACAATATATGTTTACATGAAAATATAAATATGAAAATTAAAGAATAATTTAAGCAATCATTTAGAAAGACAGTTTCAATCACTAAAGATGAGATCCATTCCAGAAGCGATTGGTGGTGTGTAATTTTCATGAAGAGGTTTCAACAATTTTATATCAACCCAAATACGGCAGATACAGCAGACAATTTAAATGTCACACCAAAGTTTCATTTGATGAATCAAAGACTTTATTGGGGTTGCTTATAGAAGCGTATGTTAAGAGTTACAGCTTGGTGACTCAATGCATCACTCAGAAGCCCACTGTAGAGTGGATGATCACACATGAACGCTGTGTCTGTAAGGACCCTGCCACCTTGGAGGCAACTACCCCAAAGGGTGTCTTCTCTCTGACAATCACTAACTTCTCTGTTACTCCTTAAACTTACAGTTTTCTGTACTTAACACATTTCATTAGCTTCCCGAGACATACGAGTCTCCCCCTCCCGCCAGGAGGGGAGTCTACTCTGAGGAGATAGGCCCACATTTGATCAACTATAACTTTGAATGTATATTAATAAGATATGAAGGTCATATCGGAAAACACTTTTTTTCCAGAGTGAAATGCTACTGGTGGGAATATTATGGGTGTTGGGTGTAGAAGGTGAATTTGAGGATGCTTGTCTGTCCATGGTGGGTAGGATCCTCTGGAGCTCCTGGGGATTCTTGAGAGGGACTGTAAAACAAGAAAGGAAGGAGATAAATGGTGGGAAGCCTCCTTTTGTCTTTTACGAGTCCAGGGTAGTGAGCCCAGTCTTTTGTTCTAACTCTCCTGCATCTACCAATACTCCAGCGAATGGTTTTGTTGAGAAAGACAAGGAAACCCAACTCTCTGGCAAGGTAGTGTGACAGATCTGGAGAAGCAGGAGAATTGCCTGTGCCAATGAGCAGAAGCCTTCTGTGGAGATTTCATAGGTTTTGAAATGGTGGGCTGTAAGGAAATCCCATATAGGTCTTGAAATGAAGGGGATCCATAGGTATTATCTAGATTATAAACTAGCCAAATATCTCAAACTATCCCACATACATTAAAAGGAAAATATTAAGATAGGATCCAGTTTTGCAGTTCCAATTAGTAAAAATATATCCTCAGTTTTTTTAACCTTATACACTGGTGGCTCATGCCTTTAATCCCAGCACTCAGGAGGCAGAGGCAGGCGGAACTCTGTGAGTTCGAGGCCAGCCTGGTCTACAAGAGCAAGGTCCAGGACAGCCTCCAAAGCCACAGAGAAACCCTGTCTCCAAAAAACAAAATCAAAACAAGCAAGCAAACAAACAAAAATCCCCCCAAAGCCATTTTCTTCTACATCAAAATACCTGGTAAAGTAAACGTTAAGTACGTTTGATGTAGCACTGCTATGACCTTTAATAAATTAAGTCTACATGGTCCCATGTGCTAGACCTCTTTACTTCCCTGCGTATTTGCATTTGGTATATTTACCACATTTATTTAAACATTCTTGGTTCACCTACTTGATTGTAATTTGCATACCAGAGACATAAACTGATGACCCAGTACTGACTATTTCATTTGGAATATGATAATAAAATACGATGTCCAAGCAATTCATAAACAACAAACATGCATTTCTCCGTGTCCTAAGATCAGAAGTCTTTGAGCAAGGCAGAGCAGATTCAGTGCCCAGGGAGGGCTTAACACCTGGCTCATACACGACACCTCCTTGAGGTGTTCTCACCTATGTCTGATCCCTACACTGAAAATTCAGTTGGATTGCTTCAATACAAGTATGGAGTCCAAAAATGGAACTTACACAATTTTCCTGCTGTTTTCGCACTACAGGCTTAGGCTCACCTTTTTTTCTTAATTCAGTTTTTAGCTTCCAAATAGGTCTGTCCTCCTGGAAGAGTTCTCACAGCTTGAGGCTCGTCTCTGGTTTTTATATTTCCTTTTTGCCTCATTAGTTTCACTGGAAGAAAACAGCTGGAAGATGCTGCTGCTTTGCAGTTTTAGAATGATTCAGGCATTTATATTTCAGACATTATTTTATGTTATTATCTGGGCTTCCTTCCATCTGAAATATAATAGTGGGTTTTTTTTCGTGGATACTAATGCATTTCCAAGCTTGACTGGTCATTTAGAAGTTAGATCTAACTGAAACAAAACATTACTAGGTATTCCTTTTAGAGCAGAGAAATACACTCTCTTTACAATGTGCTTTATAACGATGGCTTGAGGTTTTTTTTATAATTTTGAATAGAAAGTATGATCTTTATAACACCCAAATCTCCATCAGGCACATCAGCTTCTCTTAGAAAGGTTTTAATGAGTTTCGTAAGCACAGAATTTTTTAAAATTTGTTAAGCAAGGCTGTGTTTGAGAGAACTTTATCTGGCTTATAACCATGAAGAATTAGGGTAGAATTTTCCTCCCACGGGTAGCATCTTGTGAGTGTATATGTAGGTCACTATTTCTGAGTAATTGCTTTATCAATAAGTGACAGCTCATATCTGATGCAATTGGCTGGGCAAACACTTCTCAGTGAAGTCTTTTGAGATTTCTTTTTGCATTTATACCCAGAAAATTAAAAACAAAATAGGTTGTATAAGAACCCATCCTTCCTCACAAGATACCAAATTGTGGCAGAGAATCCCACTTGGGGACATCCCTGGTGGATTGTTGGCAGATGTGAGAACCCCAACACTTACCATGGTATCCTTCTTGCTGACTTCTGCCCCAGACGAGTCATTTGCAAATTTCAGAGGTCATATCAGACCTGGTTCCAAATGGATGGATTCCCCAACTTCCAAAACATGAGTTCTGCTCCCCTGGGTTAGTGTTCTGAAACCCACCAATGGATTCTGTGTCTACACATCTTCCTCCAGAGCTTGCTTAGATATATCATGCATCAGCCTTTGCATCTGTGACTCCTTTAGCCTTTCCTAGGCCAGGAAGCACTGTGTACTTTCCAGACCAGTCATAGGCTGTGTAGGGGCAAGGCCTGCCTTCCAACTGCCTTGCTGTCCCCCAGCAACAGGTAGTCTTGCCTTTTTTTCTTTTTTCTTTTTTCTTTTTGGTTTTCCGAGACAGGGTTTCTCTATGGCTTTGGAGGCCGTCCTGGAAGTAGTCTTGCTTTTTTACCTTCGCTTTCAAAATATTGAAATGTATGCAATCAACTATGATGTTAATGAAACAAAAAATGTTAAGACCCGCTTCTGTGGATCCCTGGACTATTTTCAGTTGCTGCTTCCCTCAAGCAATTCCCTTATCTACAACTGAATGAAAAGCTGCCATGCATCATTGCAAGTTCCCATGCGTCTTCTGTGATACCATGAGCCTTTGTGATTGCACAGTCAGAATTGTTGACTGGCATCCTGAAATCCTCTGACTGTATGAACCAAGGGGCAGGTTTGCCAGCATACTTTTGAAACAAAGACAATGGTGTTATAGCAATACTCAGACAGAAGAATGGCCCCTTAGCAAGGCAGAGTATTGCCACCATCGAATTTTTTTTCATCAACTCATCTTTAGGGAGTTCATGCAGCTGGAAACATCATCAAAGTTTCTCAGAAATTTACATAAGAACGAAAGCAGTCTTAACTGTGCTGAGTAATAAAAATCTTACTTCTTGCCGATTAGAAGGCATTGTGCCTGTGAGTGAGAGTTTGTGTGTGCAGGTGCTTTCTTGTGGGGACTCACTCACCTGGATGCAGTTCCTCTCTGGTGTGTTTATGTTTTCTAAGCAGCCCTGGGTCGTTTACTGAGGGGTCAGTGTAAACTCAGACCCTACAAAATCTGCTCCAATCATTGCATATGACTTTGCATAGTTTGCGAATTTGCTAAGTCTGCAAAATGAATATACAAATTCTAGTAACCCCCTTATGAAGTGTGCCAACTAAAGCTTGGTAGTGATTTACATGCAGAGTGAAAACTGTCTGGATCTGATTAATGAGGAGTAGCTGTGGAATAGCACCATTCCAGGTATATACACTCGAGATCACCACTCCTCTTAGTTTTATTGTCTGTGTTATCCTGGGTTAACTCTTCCTTTAGCCGCCTATTACAAAAGGGCAACACTTATTTTATTCGAATCGTAATGTTGGCTTGCACATTTTTTTGTATCCACAGGATGATGGTGGATTTTTAAGATCAACCCTAAATTGAGCAGAAAAATAAGTGTGCTAGAGATAGGATGAGGGGCTTGGAGCTGCTGCTCCTGGCTCAGTTGATCGATCGGTCATGGGCATACAGCCTTAGAAGGCGGGACTCCAGAGACGGATTAGCGCTGCCCTCTTGGGTGTGTTGTGACTCCACAGTGTTGCAGGGAGCTCTACTGGGCCCGTGAAACCAGGCTCAAAAGGATGCTTGACCCCACCAATCAGAGGTCTCTCAATCCGGGGAAGGGCACGAGAGTCGGGACCCTAGTGTGCACTAAAGAGTGAGTTCCGTGTCTCTTTCATAGGTGGTGGAGTCTAAAGGCACAAGGAAGGCCAGGCATAGTAACGAGCAAAGGGAACTTTGATATGGAAGGAAATGTAGTATGATATGGATATGGGGAAAAGGAGTTGGACGTGACTTCAGTTTGGTGTTCTTAACTCTCAAGAGTCTAATCTTTCTTGCCATAGGCTGCAGCAGGGAGATTACTCAGAACATGGCATCCGTGTCTATCAGGAGTCTACAGCTTCAAACCTCCAAATACTTCTCCTAGGAGCCCCTGACCCTGAACAAGGTGATACTTAAGGTTTTTGATGATGTCATTGTAAGAACCCCAGCATTATGCTGACCCCACCCCTGACAATGGGCAGGACATGCACACTGGCATTCAGGCAGATACTTAGACAGCTCAAAGGGCCCTGCGTTGTGTGGCTACGTCATGCATTACGAGGCTGCGTCAGGACCCTGTACGGATGTGCAAGCTTGGGCTACACCAGAGTGAATCAGTCTAAAACAGCTCACGCCTTTAATCCCAGCACTGGAGAGGTATATAAAGAAGAAGCAAAGGGTCTCATGCGAGATTCAGTTTCCAGTCATAGGGAAGACAGGATCTCCATTTCAGCCCTGGCAGACATAAGAGCTACTGGCTGGCTGCTTTGCTTCTCTGATCCTCAGCTTGAGTCCTAATGTCTGTCTCTGGGTTTTTATTTTTTGTGTTACAACCACAGGTTGAAAGATGTTCTGGTGCATGGCCCTTTGTCTCCGGGGAGTAGATGAATCATGGGAACAGTTTGGAAGATTTTTTGCCCTGTGTTATTCAAGCCTTAAATACAAGCCAGACGATGAGGGCCTCTCCAAGCTCTGTGGATTCCAGAGTCATGAAAATCCCAGCACATCCCAGCCAAGGGACAACTAGGAACAATGAGATAATCCCCTCTCTCTGGACTCCTCTCTGTGTTCTGGTACCAGAAGACCCTGAGCCAGGCACCCTTAGTTCAACAAAGAAGAGAGAGAAAAGGAAACTTTCTTACTGGATTTGAGGTACAACAATTGTTCTGAAGAAATCTGAGCTCCTTGGAGCGGAAGGACTCTACACTGTTCCTCTGGGTCATCAGCATAACACAGTCCGGCCTGAGCATCAGCATTATGTATAAAGACATTCCTGTCCCTGCTCAATAAGGAGTCAGGATGAGTCAGGATGCAGCCAGTGAATTTGCTCAGGTCCTGAGAAGCGGCAGGCCTTTCTCAGACACTTGTGGCTGCTTAAATCCATGGTCTGTTTAGTGTTCACAGAATTTGTGCTGGGAAAACATCACTTCATCTGTCCATGTATCTGAGGTGGAAGCAGCTTTCCTGGTTTTCCACTCCATAACTACCTGATGTCTCTTTTCCCAGTATATGTCATTTCCTGTTTCCTCATCGTTTGTTCTAGATCTGCCCCCTCCCCTGGCTCCTTCATCTCAGCCAAGGTGTCGTGCCATAAGCTGACTATTTTATGATTATTTTAACCTGTTTCCAAACAAGCCTGAGTACACCATTTTGAAACAAGCACACACACTGACAAGAATAAAGAAGAATAAAGGAGTGCTTTCCTTTAACATAGTTGTGTTGTCGTGGTGAGGTAGAGGCTTCAAGACTTCTGTGATCTTCATGGAGGATGCAGGGATGCTTCGTTTCCTGCCTTTAGCACAAAGGGAGGGGTCACTGGTCAGAGAATACACAATCCTTCAAGAGCAATGCACAGCCAACTATGACGGAGCCGGCGGCTCTCCTTATCCACTAATTTTATTCTTTCTTTTCACTTTTTGGGACATCTACTTTGCATAAGACATTTTCACAGAGGATATCAACTGGAAAAAAGAAAAGGAAAAGAAAAACTGTTTGTGATCCCACACACTGTGTATCCAGTCTTTCTTTTTATTTTCTACCTACCCCTTTGGACAGATTTTTACTTGTTAGTGATGGAAAGGAGATTTAAATGAAATCTACTATCTTGGCTCTTGTTAAGTGTATAATGCAATGTTATATCGCATCTGGTCTATAATTTATAGCCAATCCCCAGACTTGTGCCTCCTGAGTAAGTCGAGCTTCGTAACTTGTCAGCAACTCTTGTTTGCCCCCACCCGCCAGCCACTGGCAGCCGCCACTCTGCTCATTGTTTCTGTGGATTTGTCTTCACACAAGTGCTATCATGCAGTATCTTTTTGTTTGTTTGTTTGTTCCAGTGTTATGCCAATTAGCATAATTGTCTCCAATTTAGGGCTACATTTAAAATGGAAAAAAATATCCTTTATAAGTCTTTATAATATTCCATAATATTATTAATGTTATATGGAGGCAGCATGTTTGAGATACGGAATATTGTGACTTCTCTTACGAAAGCCACTCAACACACGGCTGCACCGCCCATGACAGAGCTGTATGTACCAAGTGAATCAGTGAAGTCACAGGTCAGCTAGGATTTTATGAGATGACTCAGAAACAGAAGACAAACACATCATCATTTATTGACAATTGACTTTATAACCAAACAAAAATTCCCATTTATAAAATTTCAGTTAAGAAATTCATATATCAGAGAAAATGCTAAGAGGTAAGTCATGTTATTGCTCTTATTTTATAGATAAAAATTGGCCTGCAAGTATAATAATTTGACCACATCAAAGAGATGCACCAATGCAGTTAAATTCCCATATTTATAACTCTGTGTTACAATGTCTAATTCATGAAAAAGATACCTGTCTTCAAAATCACAGCTATTTTTTCTAACCCTCTCATATCTTCTGGTTCTACTGAAATCATCAACAAAAAACAATTTGCCTGAGAGATAGCTATGGAGGGAAAAAAATCCACTCACTGCCACATCTCAATCTTCATCCCGTTCCAACATGAGCTCGCCAAGGCAGGCCACAATTCTTCAGCTGTCCAACTGATATTTCCCACCTATAAATGAAGCCAATATCACCCATCTACATTGGCCAGAAGTATCCAGTGGAACAAAACTATCAGGATCTGTCTGTCTGTCTGTCTATCACTTATCAATCTGTTTGTTTGTCTTTCTATATATCTATTACCAATCATGCATCTATCCTTTCAATGAAATTTTAAGGTATAGGCTAATGCAATTATGAAGGTCTCTAAATCTGGGTGAGGTGATCCACTTGAGATCAAGGGGGAGCTGTTGTTCCAGTCTGAAGGCTGTCAACATTCTGGTGAGCACATCTACCTCGTGTGAGAGAGCAAGTCTTTCTGTTTTAGTCATATTCTGAAGGGCTAGTTGGTTTGCTACACTAACTGTATTATTAGTTCAAAAATCTACTTACTTAAATATCAGCACTCAAAAACATCCACATACACTCCTCTAGAATGTCTGACAAAATCTTTTGGGAATCCATGGCTTGGCCAGGTTGACATATAAAATTAGCCATCACACCATCTTCACAAATGTATAACACTTCAGCAAGCATCAGATTCAAAGTACATGATATAAATCCAGATGTTTGGTTGCATTTGCTAATCAAAGACAGCCGTCATCATTATATATGTGCAAAAGTAGATACAGACTCTCTGGTCATTTTGTAGTTGAAGAACTGGAAATCACAGAAATATATATATATATATATATATATATATATATATGTATATATGCCTGGTGATTCATCACATGAACTAACTCGAGGTTTTAGCATATATCCCTAGTCAGACATTTAAAAACTCCATTGACATATAAATCACACATGATAGCTATTACCTATTGATGAACAGGCCAGTAATTTTTGAACAATGTATAAATGTATATCATCATCTAACACAAACTGTAATAAGATATAGGACATTTCTATAATTTAGAAATTTCACTCTTTGTAATTCCTTCTTCTATGTCTGATAATTTACAAAATGGCTTCTATTTTTCTAGGGTAATTAGACTCACAGAATTATCATCTGTACTCATTAAAGTACTTTTCTGTTTGGGGCAAATATTTAGGAGGATTAGGAGTTCCTGGACACTCTGGTGGCTGAGGGAGCATTTGCAATCATGTTTACATAGCTGATGTGCGCCCAAACACTTCTCTCTGAAGACAGGCTGTAAGGTAAAGCAGTGCTCAAAAAGTTCATTCCTGCTGGTAGAGGCTAGCTTTACAGCATTTGCTCCTTTGTTCATTCATTCATTTTCTTAGTCGCAAATGCAACCAGATTGTTTTATGACGCTCTGATAAGCCTCAGTCATTTCCAGTGGAGCTGTTTTGAGACATGTGGCTGGTATATGCGCTAGACCCAAGCAAACCACGTGACACTATTTACAGGTGAGAGTATACTGGGAAGGGATGGCTTTGCCTTGACTGTGACTGAACAGTTGTGATCTGGAAAGCTCCTCTTTAGAGCCAGGCAGTGGTGGCACTTGCCTTTAATCACAGAGTAGGGGCATGGGGGAGGCAGAGGCACATGGATATCTGTGAGTTCCAGGCCCACCTGGTCTATGAAGCTACACAGTGAAACTCTGTCAAGAAAGGAAAAAAGGAAGAAAGGAAGGAAGGAAGGAAGGGCGAAAGAAAGATAAAAAGAAGAAAAGAAAGCTCCTCTTTACCCTCTGAGTTTTATCTTCAGCCCTATAGATGTTGAGTGATGCTAGGTATGTGTTGATGCTCAAGGAGACCATCTCAAGGGAAATAAACAGACTCTTAAACCAAGACTCCCGTGGACTAGCCACAGAACTTACTTTCAGGATCTTTGGCCAAAAATCACAAGAACCTAATGTCTATTAAACAAATTGTAAAGATTTTTGCAATTGTGAGTTCTTTGCCCAAAATATAGGTCTCTAATTTTCTCTATTAATTCATGACATTATTCTAATCAGGAGAACATTACCCACTGAATGTGCCTCTATTAAAAAAAAGGGGGCTGGAGAGATGGCTCAGAGGTTAAGAGCACTGTTCTTCCAGAGGTCCTGAGTTCAATTCCCAGCAACCACGTGGTGGCTCACAGCCATCTGTAATGAGATCTGGTGTCCTCTTCTGGCCTGCAGACATGCAGGCAGAATACTGTATATATAATAAACAAATATAGGACTTGTCCTGGCCCTGGAATTAGTTCATCTCTCCCAGGTCTTTCTCACACTTTCGTCTCTATCTTGGCTACTGACAATTAATTTTTATTATTTTCATTCCTCTTTTCTCACAGATATCATATTATAGTGATGATCTGACAGTGATTTCCTAAATAGTTACTTTGAGACAACATATGATAGGTCAACAGGTGTTTGCCAAGAGGGGAATCTGTTGTACTGGGCGTCCATCACAGCTCATGAAGAGAGGCCATCTTCTGGTATCTTCTGGAGTATGAAAGTAAGTTCGTTGATTTTATATGTAAGATGGCCTGGATACAGTTGGCAAGTGTTCTGTCGGCCATAAATTGACAAGAAATAGCAAATAATTTCTTAAAGGCTGATGGGTTTCCCTCTCAGGTTTCAAAGGAAACATCGGAGAGATTTACTGGGGGTAGAGAATGTTAATTGAATTGTGACTAATTAAGTAAACAAGAAAGCCTATGTGAAATACCTGAGTCTAAATCCACAAGGAAACTGCAAGGGTGTTCTCTATAATCCTTTGTTTGTTCCCTATAATTCTAGACCAGTGTATTAATGAGGAATTATATCTCAGTGGGAACATAATGTTCATGGATTCACTGGCTACAACACAAAAAAATTGTCAACAGGTATTTGAGTCAGTTTGGACAATTGACTTCTATTTAGACTCGCATGTGCTTTCACTTTGGAGATGGTTCTCTGAGGAAGGGGTGTGGCCCTGGTACCCAGGCAGGGAGACTGAGAACTCAGTCATTTGCTTCAGAGTCCATGTCCTTTCTACAACAGAGAATCGGTGGTCCCCCTGATTTGCTGAATCTCGGTCATGAAGCTCAGTTTACTATGCAGTGCAGCATTTTGTTTTCTGCAAGCAGGTGAGTTCTGAGCATGTCTCGGGATTCATTTTAGGATACTGAGACAAAACCTGTTCATCACTGTGAGGGCATTCACTTCTCTTTTTCCCACAGGTCCAGCGAGTGCTGGCATCATTCAGACTCCCAGATCAATGCTCCTGAAGACAGGGCAGCAAGTGACGATGAAATGTACCCAGGACATGAAACATGACTGCATGTTCTGGTACCGACAGGACCCAGGGCTGGGACTGAGGCTAATCTACTACTCGTATGATGTTGGCATCACTGACAAAGGAGATGTCTCTGAGGGGTACAGCGTCTCCAGATCGAACACAGAGGACTTCTCCCTCACTCTGGAGTCGGTTACCCACTCCCAGACATCTGTATACCTCTGCGCCAGCAGCTATACCACAGAGCTGTGTTCCTGCCTCCTCTCTGCACACAAAGATACATGCAGAGAAAAGGCACCCGCCCACCCCTGGAACTCAGTGACAAGCTAGAATTCTCAACGCTAGCACCTTGGAGCTCTGAGTGTTCTAGGCACTGCAAACCTGGGCAGTGCAAATCTCAGTCTGTGCTGAGGGGCGTAGATCTACTGGCAAGCTCAGGCAGGTTTGGACCAGACCTTGGACTCGGAGGTCTCCGCTGTTGCTGTCTTTCGACTGATGCTTTAATTCTGATTTTTCTGGTCTTTATCTTGAGTCTGAGTATTCCTGGATGGAAAGTGACTTGAAATTTGGATATATTTTTTTCCTTGACACAACATTCCTGCCTTCTCCCTCTGGGATTCAGCTCACATAATAGGAATGGGATGATTGAACAGTTGCTTAGATAGAGAGACCAACAGCAGAAGCACCTCAGGTTGTACTTTGCCCTGCCAGAGACGAAGTCTAACTCTGAGCAAGCATATCTCTTTTATTACTGGGCTGTAGTGAGTCCTGGAATGTGGTACCACATTCTCTAGACCAAATGGCCAGAGCAGGAGAAAGGTTTTCTTAAGTGCTTGCATCCCGTGTCTTCTTACAGGTGATTTTCTCATGGGAATTTAGATAGACCTGAGACCCATCCAGAGTGCCATCTTTAGAGTTCTCTTCCATTGAGACCACTTATGATACCAATACATCTACCAAATTTCCACCACAGTGATGATACAGAAGCAGATAGTCATGGGAAGATGACGTTTGTCGCAGATCTTCTGGATGTGAAAAGGGCTGAGAAAGCTATGTTGAAAGGTAGAAGTTGGAGGTTAGCGTTCAGTTGATCTTTGGTGCTCAACATTTGGGAAGATAGCTAGATACACAATATAGAAGCAAACATCCTTTTTGGTCCGTAGAAACCATTGTGTCTGTGTCACCATCTCACTGCTTGACTTCAGTGACCTTCTAAGTGCAATGGTAAACGGGCGGTCATTTTTTTTTTCTAAACTGTACAAAAATGTTTCATTACCAAGCGTAACCTGAAAATGACTACAGCCTAGGTAAACACCACACAGCACAAGACAGCTCCTCCTGGACCGGGATGTCACGTCTGTCTCAACCCTGCTTTGTCTGTAGGCTCCTCTTCTGAATGCACCTCTTTCCAAGTGAACTGTGTTTCTGTTCTGGGTGTTGCTTTCATGCCTGTGGAAGAGGTCCTATTTTTACTCAGCCATGGCTTTGTTTCTTGCCTCTGTCTTCTTCCCTAGCTCCCATGATGCTGGAGCACACCAGGTAGGATGAACTGGCGATTAAAGGGACTGGTCAGTCCATTCAAAGAAAAGCAGATGAATTCAAAGGAAGAAGCATCATTCCACTCCAACTAAGTTGTGATTAAGTGGTAAATAGAGTACTTTTTTGTTCTGCTGCTGTGTTCTTTGCAATGTAGCGCTTGTCTTTGATGATATACCTTAGTATCTGAATGTTTTACATACTTCCCAGTTATCCAGCCTGGGGTTCAGAATATATGGGAATTCATGAATTTGTTGAGACACATTTACTTACTAAACAAACCTAGGTGCATTTCTCTAAGAAATCCATTTTGTCACTTGGCATAGAAATTTCTTATTAACATATGACCTGTTCTTGAATATAAACGTGTGTAAAACCTAGAACTATAGTTCAAGCGTCCAGGCTATTTCTGAAACCTTTGAGTAGGAGAACAGGTATTTAAAGATCTTATGGCCGCGACAACCCTTATAAAGGAAAACATTTAATTGGGGGTGGCGTACACTTTCAGAGGTCTCACCCATTATCCTCGCAGCAGGACATGGTGGTGTTCAGTCAGACTGGTGTTGGTGCTGGAGAAGGAGCTGAGAGTTCCATGTCTTGATCCATAGGCAACAGGAAGCAAATTGTGACACCTGGCACAGCTTGAGCCTGGGAGACAACAACCCCCACCCCCACAGTGACACACTTCTTTCTGCAAGTCCACACCTACTCCAACAAAGTCATCCTTCCGACTAACACCGTTCCCTCTGGGGGCCATTGCCTTTCAAACCATCACATTTATACGCATGCATTATAGTTATTTTAAATACAAATAAAATCCAAACCTATAGACACCTGTCTTTTTTTCCCTTTAAAAGGATATGAGGATTCAGGCAACATTGAGGCTGAAAAATGTGTGTGTTCTATGAGCTCTTACTATAACCATTTTCCTTATTCTGTTTCCAACTTAAATGTTTTCTCAGACCTCACTAATGCTGGAGTCTCCCAGTCTCTCGTGTACAGAGTTATAAAGAAGGGAAAGGATGTAGCTCTTAAGTGTGTTCCAATTTCTGGCCATAGTGGTTTCTACTGGTATCAGCAGAACCCAGGGCAAGGTCCAGTGTTTATGTTGTATTTCTAGCATACGTTTGTATCAGAGAAATCACCACTAGTTCCTGTGCAGATTCACTTATCCTTTATACAAAGTCATCACGGGAAGATTCCCAAAACACTGGCTGTACTTGTGGGTGAGAGAAGCAAGTGAGACCTGTTGCATTCTAGGAGTCTCCAGGGGCAGCTGGGTTCTACGGGACAATGACTGAATGTCTTAGCATTGGCTCTCAGACCACAGTCGCCAGCTATCTACAGAGTCTCGAGGCTGCTACTGGTACACAAACCTGTGTCTCGTGCAGTGTCTGCTGTGTCTGCTGGCTCCTCCCCTGCAGTTGGCTGATTACTGTGGTTTCTGAAATGCTACATTCTTTTTCCAGTTGCATCTTCTACTTCAGCCATATGAGATACCTTAGGCTACATAGTGTGAAAGCTTAATTATTTTTGAATTAAAAATCTTTGCTAAATTTTAATGGCGGTTGTTTGATAAACACAAAAGAAATGAGACTAAGACTTCACTTCATCTGCACAGTGTTGTAGGATATTTATGGGTGTGAAGGTGTGTCTCTGTCCTTCCTTGCCTGTCTAAGATACTTTATGATTGGTTTGATAAAGAGCTGAACTGCCTATAGCTTGTAGGAGAGGATAGGCGGGACTTCCAGGCAGAGATGGGAACTCTGGGGAGGTCTGAGTCAAGGAGATTTGTCAGTGAGATGTGGAGGAATTTGGACATACTGCATGGGAGAGGGAAAGAAAGAGACATGTGTCAGAATGTAGATTGATATAAATGGGTTAATTTAAGTTCTAAGAGATAAGTGGAGAAAAGCCTAACCTAAAGCCAAGCTTTCATACTGAATATGAAGTCTCGGTGTCATTATTTGGGAGCTGGCAGTCCAAAGAAAGTCCAACTATACCATATATTAAGCATTTTTTTCGTTTTATTTCAATTTTCTACTGCTCTTGCCATGAAGTTACACTGTAGCACATTTTCTCTCACATTTCAGTGCAGTCTTGATACTCCAAAGCAATAACTAGAAAGTGAATTTTTCAATTCTTGCCTAAGACTTTCAGTGTGAAATAATTTCCTTGAGGTCCCTAACTTGAGAAGATGAAATTAAAAATTGATGTCCTTATTTTTTTATGTTTTGTTAGTCTATACTGCCTAATAGTGTTTGTTACAAATATAATTATATTATAATACAATTGTCTGCCCATATGTAGGTGAAACCAACATGTATCTATGAGACCTAAATGTATAATGAGATTTGGTGATAAATACATCCTGGGCTTCTGCTTCTCTTCAGAGACAGTCAGTGCTCTAAGACTGGAACTGTCTATCACAGAGCCAGTCACCATTGCTGCCCTTGCAAGCTGGTTAGGGAAATTCCAGTCCCCCAAAAACAGCTTATCAGAAATTAGGGTGACTCTGAATACCAAATGTCTTTCCTCAAGAATGACGACTTGGTAAGGAATTACCATATCCTATTTTAATGATGTCATCTTCAAATAGTGCACATTTTTCCCTCCTGGGAGAAAATAAAGTTACAATATGGGTGGCAATTGCCTGTCCTTTGGGAGATTCAAGTTCTTTTTTTCTTAACTTTGTTTTAACCTTGGCTACCTGGTCAGGAGAGCTGGGTAATCTCTTAGTTATGTTCTGGTTTATACAGAGCACATAGCTTGCTTGTAAATACTGGACCATAGTACAGTATATGGATGGTGTCTACTCTACATAGCTTGACACTCAGTGTTTATAGTACTGGGGAAGGTTTTTGTGTTTTAATTACATCCAAACATCATTTCTACTCTTCTACTTGGTAAAATCTATGACAGCAAAAGAAAAAGCAGGCACCGTCCATATCACAGTCAATTCCTGTGTCTTTATTCCTAATATTTATACTAAGTATCAGTACTTCTCATGCCTATCCATATTGTAAAAGGAAATTTTAAGGAATACAAGCTCATATTATATTGTAAATGTTGTGTATACAACAGTAAAATGAATGTGGGATAGATGCTAAAAATAAAAATTCCAAAAATTTGTCAGAACTAGAATCAGAGTTTGGATTAAGGTTTAATAAAATTGGTCATTGAAAATTGTTCTATAATACTTTTGGAATTTCCTCCTGCTGACCAATCACTCAGATACTTCCTTAGATGATCGCAGGGAAAACTTCCCATACTGGCCACAAGATGGCACTGAGCTCCATAGATCTCCTGAGAGACTCTGGGCGAACTGCCAAGGATGGAAGTTTCAGTTATTGGTTTGCATACAACCATGGGAGAGGTGGGAGGATGTCTCCAAACTTTAATGAGACCCACAGTTGGAGGACGTGGGCAGGGTAGCCTTGATATCAGGGCAGGTGCTGACAACGGACAAACTCCTCTTCAGTAAAAGGGAAACCAACTGGAGTGTGGCTTACCCTCATTTCCTGGTATCTAAACTCATTTTTCCTGCTGGCTTTGCTGGGCAAGAGAGCCCTGTTGCAGAGGTTGCAAGAGGGAGGTGACATCAGAGGCTCAGCCATCCCTCCCAAGGAGAGGAGGCTCAGAATTCTTGTCCTCAGTCCTAAGGCCACAGCATTCAGCTGGGGCTCTACCGTCTCACTGTAACCATGATCCCCACAATGCTTTGTGTGATGCTTTGCCTGCTAAGAGCAGGTGAGTTGCGTGCTTTGTTGGAGAATTCTACCATCACTTGCTGGGTCCTAGCTCCAAATCTTTCCTGCCCCCACACTACGCACGCTATTTCTTATTTTGCCTTCTTGTGTTTCTTCCCCCCAACAGACCTAACAGATGCTGGGATCACCCAGACACCGAGATACTGGATCACCCAGACAGGAAGAAAGATGGTCCTGGGGTGCTCTCAGAATATGGACCACTATGGGATGTTCTGGTATCGACAAGATGCAGGACAGGGGGTGTTAAGGCTGATCCACTACTCAGGAAGTGTTGGCAGCACTACCGAAGGAGATGTCCCGGAAGGGTACAGTGTCTCCAGAAACAAGATCGACCATTTCCCCCTGACGTTAGACTCAGCCAGACCCAGCCAGACGTCCATGTACTTCTGCGCCAGCAGTGAACACAGCACCGCACAGCCAGGTGTTGCCTGCACAAGAAGGACGACCATGAGGTTGATATGGGCCCTGCTGCGTCAGTCCCCGCCCCCGCCCCAACCAAAGAAAACTTCCTGAAGCTCTTTCCAGGATGGGATCTCAGCCAGAGGGACTCAGTGCAGCATGAATCTTAGTGTATGAGCTCAGGTCCATTATGTGTGTCAATGAAAACGATATCGGATATTACCTTTTCCAATGTGGAGTCTTCTAGCCACCAAGTAGAGGGGACAGTAGCTTCCAACGCGACATTTGTGTGTTGTTTTCTTTCCAAAAGGAAGTATCCGAACAGTTGGAACTTCTCAAATCACCTGGGATTCTCCAAGTTAAAAGCTAGTGCATAATGTTATCTTGTCCTTGATTCCATCAAATCAACTGTGATCCCTCTGCAGAAAACAAGACTAACTATAAGTAAGTTAAAGATATATAAATAAGCAAATCTCAAACTGGAGAATTACTGAAGAGAGAACAAACTAAGGACCCATGGAGGCAGAACAGTGTTTTTAGTCTTATGCAAGTAGATCCATGATGGGGGAAGTCCTATGTATATGTCAATAAAGCACTGTTGGGCCAATAGGGAACCAAGATAGGTGGGACTAGGAGTCCAGGAGAACTCTGGGAAGGAGAACACAGGGAGTCAAGATGTAACGCCATGGGGTAGGAAGCCCGGAAACTTCTCCAGTAAGAGATACACTTAGATTACAATTATGGGGTAATTACTTAAGACAGAGATAGCCAGTAAGAAAGCAAGGCCAACAGCTTCATAATTAATATAGCCTCCTGTGTGTTTATTTGGGACTGATGCGGCTCTAGAACCAGGCTGGCGGGAAGGCTTCTCTCAAGGAAAAGGTTTCCATTTACAGATCCAGATAGGAAACCAATGCTTGACTTCTTTGTCTTGGATTAAAATATGTGAATACTTCAATGTTTTTCCTTGTGAATGTCGAGTAAGCTTTCTACCCCGAGTTTGCATTACTCCTTAGCACCTGCAGGGAGGAATCCACACCTGGGAGCAAGGTCTCAATTTGGAATCTATGCGTTCCAAAGCCATGAGATTCCTAGCTGGACTTCATAGAAAATGCAAACCCATGTGTCTATACTGGGCCCAGTTATGACTCTAAAGCTGCCACAGGAATGTCTGGGTGGCTCACCAAATAGCCCACAGATAAAGAAAGGATCAGGCTGCTTGCCTTGCAAAAAATTCAGTTCCCAATTGGCCAGTGCACTGATGGAGAAGTGGTGATTTACAGGTTTATAAATCATGCCATTTATGAAGGACTTCAACAGCCTTTGAGTTGTGTTTACATTTTTATTTGCTTTCATCCAGCAATCAGTACTTAGCTCTTGATAGCCAAATTTGTTGGTCCAGCTCACTTTAATGTCAGGCCTTCTTGTCTATGTTTCAGTCAGGAAACACTTCACATTCTCAATTTTTTGTGTAAATATGTATGTTCAGGGATTTACTCTTGTTTGATGGATTTGAAATTGCATTATGTAGAATAAAAGCACATATTTGTATGAAAACACATCTTTTTTATTTCTCCTTTGGTTTTTAATGTATTTTTAAATTTTTATTAAAATAAATTATGTCTTAGAAACATGCATGCATGCTTCACATGTCAATCCCAGCTCCCTCTCCCACCCCTCCTCCCTTGTCCCTCAACCAGCCCTCCTCCCCTCCCCCCCCCCATCCACCACCCAGTCCCCACATCATTCCCAAGGTAGGGTGAGACTCTCCTTGGGGGATCTCCAGAGTCTGTTATTTCATCCAGGGCAGGGCCTAGGCCTTTTCCCATGTGCCCAGGCTGAGAGAGCATCCCTGCATGTGGAATGGGCTCCCAAAGTTCATTCACATGCCATGGTAAACACTGATCTACTACCCAAGGCCTCAGAGATTTCTAAGGCCTCCTCACTGATGCTACATTCATGGAGTCTGGATCGGTCCCCTATTGGCCTCTCAGCCATCAGTCTGGGGTTCAAGAGCTCCCCCCTTGTCTGGTCAGCTGTCTTTGTGGGTTTCACCGGCATGGTCTTAACGCCTTTGCTCATCATTCCTCCATCTCTGTCACTGGATTCCAGGAGTTCAGTTCAGTGTTTAGCTGTGGGTATCTGTCTCTGCTTCCATCAGTCACTGGATGAAGGTTCTAGTATGACATATAAGGTAGTTGTCATCAACCTTATCATCAGGGAGGGGCTATTAATGTAGTCTCTCCGCTATTGCTTAGTTTTCCAGTTGGTGTTATCCTTGTCAATCTCTGGAAATCTCACTGGTGTTAGCTCTCTCCTCAAACCTATAACGACTCCATCTATTATGGCATCTCTCATCCTGCTCTCCTCTATTCTTACCTCAACTCAACCTTCCTGCCTTCCCCATGCCTTCTTCTCCCCTCCTCTTCTCCCCCTCTCTTTTTCCTGGCTCCTTCTCCCTTCCCCTAATGTTCCCAATCTGCTCAGAAGATTTTGTCTCGTTCCACTTCTCTGGGGTATCATGCATATCTCTTGGGAACCTCCCTGTTTCCCAGACTCACTGGTACTGGATTGTAGGCTGACACTCCCCTGATCCATGTCTAAAATTCATATATGAGTAAGTACATACCATGTTTGTCTTTTTGTGACTGGGTTACCTCACTCAGGATGGTTTCTTCTGGTGTCGTCCATTTGCTTGCAAATTTCAAGATTCCATTGTTTTTTTTTCCACTGAGTAGTACTCCATTGTGTAAATGTACCACATTTTCTCTATCCACTCTTCAGTTGTGTGGCATCTAGGTTGCTTCCAGGATCTAGCTATTACATATAATGCTGCTTATGAACATAGTGGAACAGACATCCTTGTTGTGTGAATGGTCATCTTTTGCATATATGCCTAAGAGTGGAATTTCTGGGTCTTGTGGTAGACTGATTTCCATTTTCCTGAGGAATCTCCATATTGATTTCCAAAAGAAAGCACATCTTCTGTGGAATTTTGAAATTATCTTTTAAGTAAGGTATAATAGGAAATAAAATGCCCAAACTAACCCATGGCTAACTGGTAAATTGATATATCAGTTCAATTATAACTAAAAGAAAAATGAAGATTTCTTTATCCCTTTTCCAAGCATTTTTTCTTGGAGAGGTAAAGATAATCTGATTTCTATTACCGCTGTTTGATTTTATCTATTTTTGAGCCTCTTAGAAATGAGTTATACTTATCTTTATTGACACGTTCCTTCAAAATTAACATTTTGAAACTATATTCATTTTGTGTTCATAAGCAGTTTATTTAGTCTGGTCCTACACAATACTGCAGCTTGTATTATATTATAATGTACTTACCTCTTTGTGGAAATATATACAGGTTACCCTAGGTCTCATCTATTTGTGGAACCAAAGCTTCTTTGAAATCTATTGTACTGTTCTTTGTGAATGTACATCTGCTTCACGTGGGCACAGATATCACGGGAGAATTATTGACTCATAAGCCACATGACTATTTAGACTTTTTAAAAAAAATTCCCAAAGTGGCCTTCTGGATTATCATTCTGAACCCTGGCAGTCTCTGGCTGTACATTCTCGTCAGCATTTTGTGCTCTTAGTCCTGTCAGCTGCCCATTAGGTGACTGATGGTCTCTCCCTCACATTTCGCTGATGAATAAGGGTATTTACTCCATTTTATTTTTAATTGTGTGTGTGTGTGTGTGTGTGTGTGTGTGTGTGTATCTATATGTGAGTGTGTGCACAGGAGTCCAGGTGACCTGGAGTCAGAAGACAGTGTCAGATTTCTTGAAGATCAAGTACAGGTTGCTGAAAGCATCCGATATAGGTATGTAAGGGCCAAGAGCCAAATTGGGGTCAGCATATATTCTGAATCCTGAGTCATCTCTTCTGCCTACAATGTTTGTTCTTTTTACATGCTGGGTCTCTCTCTCTCTCTCTCTCTCTCTCTCTCTCTCTCTCTCTCTCTCTCTCTCTCTCTCTCTCTCTCTCTGTGTGTGTGTGTTCTGCATATGGAAGTCTCAGGTCAACCATGGATAACATTCCACAGGGAACTGTCCACCTTATTTTTACCAGACCCTCTCTGGTTTGGAATGTCTGATGTGACTAGGCTGGGAGTGGTAGAGAGCCTCTTCTCTCTCCTCCCTACAATGCCGCCAGTGTTACAGGAATGTGTGGTTTTACATGGATCCTGGGGATTTGATCTCCCTTCTGTCCACAGCTGTTCTTTGTTTTCCTTAGGCCCCCTGGCTTAGGGCCCACTCTCTGAGGGTGGGAGGGTGTCCCCTGAAGAGGACATTTGCATGCAGTGTCACAGTATCTATGAGAAGCAAGCACAGCCTCCCCCAGACCTCCCTACCGGTTGTGGATGAGGATGTGCAGCACACTAAGGAATCCCTTTGGAGTCTATGGCCCCCCAAGCCACAGTGTTTGTTTTCACATTGCAGAGCTCTTAGGGTTTACACTGGCTCACTTGGCAATGCTAATTGAGAATGGCTAGAACTTTCCTTACTGCTAATTGCGGAACAGTAGAAACCTTATTACTTCTAATTGCAGAATGTTAAAGCGCTTCTCACCTTTTTCAAAGGGGAATAAAAGAACACATTCTCCGATGATCATTTTTGCCATCTTTTAGCTAGGTCTCTTAGTCAAGGTGTTGGTATGACTGAGAATGAAGAAGTTGTTCACAAATGTGTGTCAGGGTTAAGGGGAAATGACAAGGGAGGGAGCATCAGGAAGAGGTGGGTGGATCTTACATAAGGCCCCAAAGGTAGCGGGTTTCAGTCCTCAGGGTAAGGCACACTTGGAAAAGGCTGTCTGCAATGCATTGCGCCACATGAAAGAGAAAAGCAGCCTCTAGGCAATGCATCCTAGAAAGGAGCCGAAGGACACAGCTTGCAAAGCAGGACAGTTGGTTGTTTTGCGCCCTCTGCTCTCCTGGCATCACTGAAGACCTCTGACGGCGGGATGATTCCAGAGGAGCAAACTGAAAGCATATGGAACGCTAGACCTGCGGGCTTCCGGGTATAAGCCCCATTTAGCCAGTTCTGAGTAATAAGCTGATAAAGCTGCAGAGTGATTTGGGAGAAATCTTACTCCTACTCATTTAT